ATATTTAAATTTTTTGTAAACCCTTAAAAAGAAATCGCAGCATAGGAACAACATAGCACGTTCAATTTTGTGGCCTAATCAACCCCATCAAATCCCTGAGTATTTTCAATAGCTATGAGAAGTTTGTCCCATAAATCTTCAAATGACTCATATGGAGGCAAATCCAAGCGGTTAAAGCTGAAAAAGAAAAAAAAAAAACACGTAAGTTTTTGTGATCAAAGTTACTTCTTAATGCATGAAAGTCTACTTAAGTTAAAAGAATATTTACCAGGTATGAGCTCGTGGCAGTTTTTCAGGGGTGCCCCACTGTTCAACTGTAAACAACTGTGGTCCATTTGAACCTACAGGAAGAAGTAATGGATTGAGATCCACTCCATTCTATCTCTCAACCTTTTTGAGATACAAGTCTTTTCAGTATATTGCTCTTGCTTTGTGAAAGAATTTCTGAATGAGGGAGTTATACATATGACTCAAAAGGCATTGTGTGTATGTTCCAATGATTGCTTTCTACATATTTCTGGATATATATTTACCATGAGAGGTTTTTTTTTTTTTTTTTTTTTTACACACACACCAATAGTGAAGTGTAAGGGTGCATATTTATAGCTGTAGTAGTATCAGCATTGATCTGTCTACATGAGACGCTATTCCATATGTGATTAAGTAATACTGCTAACTATTTACAAATTACTAAACTGTTTAAACACTCAATTTGATTTTTAAAAATTGATATGTAATAGGCATATGATTTAAGTCAAATAGTGAATCTTTGTGATCATTTTAAAAGCGGGCTTTTCACACTGAGTAGCTCAGTTAATTTGAATGAATGGCACTATATGAACTCACCATATAACTCAGCAAATCCATTCATAGGTACACGGGATGTGCCAGTGACAAACTGAAGTAATCGTATTCGTTTCTCAGAATCCATCATTAATACTGCCTGTACAGGGCAAATATATTTAAAGACTTAGTTGAAAGGCTTCAGTTTTTTTATTATTACACTGTTAGCAATTTTAAGTGATACACTCTACTTGTTTTTTACATCTTAAGAGCAGACTATTTTTTTATTTTATGTAATAAATACAACTTATTTCTCTGCATGCTGTTAAAAGTCCTGAAATCTACATATTTTGTCCAAATCTTTTTTTTGCCTTCAATTATTTTAGCAGCAGAGTGACAATAGGGTTACTGACTTAGAAGGCCATTAAAATACTTCCCTCCCAGATTTGGTCCCTACTTTTTTTGAAGTCTGTTGATGTTGCACACAAAACAACCAGACTGCTATAACTTAAACACAAGAGTTTAATACCTCTTTAGTGTAAATACACCAAAAAGCTACAGTGATTGTATTTAACCTCACCAGCATACCTGGCTTTTAGAATTGGATACACATCAATACTGTATTATAGTCTTAAATATGCATCATTTCTATTTATATTCCATTTGTAGTTTAATGTACAAATATTTACTTGTTTCTATGAAACATGATACCTCTGCATAGTTGATAAAACAGCAGTTTAAAAAAAAATTACATTTTGCATATATAGCAAGTTAGAGCTTTGTTACCTTCCAAAACCACTGTATAACTTGGTGATTTATACTATAGCCATTTTTATATTTTGTATATAGCTTCCAGTCAGCCACATCCACATCTCCCAGTCCACACATTAGTAACTACACAAATGAGAGATAGCAAAAGGTAAGTCAACGAAACATGGTTCCAACACAATTTGTTTCCTGTTCCATGATATACTTACCTCTAGTTCATTTTCATCAAAGATTTTGATTAGATCTTGTGGTATTAGTTCAAAAAATCCCTAAAATATATAAAAAAAATAAAAATCTGAAAACCAAATTCTTTATATCTCTTCCCCCCACCCCCAGCTAAGAATTAGATCGCCACGTTGCAAGAGTTTCGGACAAAGTATTACATTAAATACAGCACAGTTTATAGACACACCTGGGCTGTAATTTTGAGTCTGGCTAAGGCATACTTCATGCAAATCTTGAGTGGTCAAGGGGAAAAAATGGCTCTATGAAAACTCTATTCAATTCTTCCTGGGGCTTGATGAAATCAGATTTGGCTTCCAATGCAAACAAACAGTTTCAACATTGTTCCAGCTACACAGGACATGTTCATGCTGACATTACCAATGCTCTGCATTTTTATCTATCAGTACTGATTATGTCCTTATATTCCTGACTTACAAAGCTGGCAAATAATTTCTCCCATTTCAGAGAGTATATAATGAAGGATCTGGCAAGTTGCACTTAGTCAATTCTTCCAGAACCATAATCAGAATCCAAGCGTCTTATATGGGATACCCAGAACCAGGAATAGAATCCAGCAATCTTGGTTCTACTTCTATTGGAGTAGAAAGCTCTGTTTCCTTGTGCATATTCATTATGATAGTCTAATTACATTAGATTTTTCCCCACATTACTCCCGCTTCATTCAATGAACAGGACAGAATATGCCTAGTCAATGAAGGAGTTGCTGAATATTCTCCATCAGTTTCATCTTTATTTCCTGAATATCATATTAACTTTTTAATAACGCAGAGCTTTAATTTCCTCAGGATGGTTTTGTGGTTTTTGTTTTGTTTTTAAAAAGAGCAGGCCATTTCTGAGAAGACCAGCTCATTCACCATCTCCTCTTCCATTTATCAGAGACTTCTGCTCCTCCTGCACATTTATAATCATAACATCCTTGTGGTGGTAAGTAATTTCCTACACACGGAAAAGTATATGCATCTGGTATATTAGCCTATAATGTTGGTTAGTGGCTGGTGAATCAGGCAAGTCAACACCATGAGGCCAGCTAGCTCTTCAGGGATCCTCAGTTGTTCACAAACCAGTTTGGGAAACTCTGGGCTAGTGATTTACAGATGGTCATTTGTATAATGAGGAGATAAAAATTAAAGTCATTCAATTCCAGTAAACTTAATATTATTTACACTTCTATTACTTAAACCATAAAGAATGATTTTGGAATGGATTAAAAAAAACATTTGAATTGCATCTCTGTTCAGGACTGGACAAGAAGTTAATTTGTAAGTATGTGAAGGGAGATTTTATAATGGAAAAGCTGGTAAGTGTTCTAACAATAGCACCGTATCATTAAAATAATTCAGAGCTGAACTCCATTAAATATCTGATGACTCTAACTCTTTTACAGCCATAGCAACCTAGTCAAGTCTTGTGTTCCAAAAGATTTTTCATAATATTAGATATGAAAATATTTAGAAATTAATACCTCTTTAAAGGCAGCCATCTGCTTCTGGACTCTGCTCACAAATCTCCACTGAATTACTAGACTGCAAAATAAAAATAAAATTGAAAATTTGTAGTACAAATTATGCATCTTGCATCAAAGCTGAACACAATAAGAAGCTCAGTGAAAAACAAAATACAAAGAGCACACCGTCTGTAGAGAAACTGAAATGAGGTGATGTATTTTCCATAGACTGTCCAACTACTTACTGAATATAATCTCGTTTGTTCTTGTTGGTGACTACTATTTCTGATCCGCCACTTTTCAGCTCATGTTGATGGGTCTAAATAAGAAACACATATTACACAAAGCACATGCTTCACCGAATACAAGTTTAAACATTAAGTATTTTTTATTTCTGCTTAATTTTTAATAATCTGAAAACTATGACAACTAGCACCACTCTCTCATGCAACCTGTATGAATACCTTTTAATATTATACACGCACACAATTCAGTGGTGCCAGATTGCAACGTGGCAGCTCAGTTATCTGACTCAAGTACAGCAACTCACCACGTTTGCACACACGGTCTCTGCAATACTGTATATTTTTTTACTAACTTCACAATCTGCATTTGCAGTGATCCAACCTACAGCATTTTTGGTGAGCACTGTGTAACAGGTTGCACCTCTCCAAACTGGGACTCTCTAGTCCAGCAACATCCGTGGTCCAGTAGGAGCACCAGTGTGATGCAGCAGGGAATTTGGGGAGTGGGGGCAGGAAGCCCAGCATGCTGTGGGGAGGGGAGCTGGGAAGCACGGCCCAGCTGGACTGCCCAAGAGAGCCGGGAATCTCAGTACGTGGCCCATCTGGACTTTCTTGGGAGGCTGGGAAGTCCGGTGGGGTGGCAGGGGAGAGGAATGGCAGAGAGAAGGGATAGCCAGGAGGCCAGTGGCTGGGTCCAGGCTGGGAGACATGGCAAGGGGGGCGGAAGTGACCTCCCCTGGTTAGCAAAATCCCTTACGTAGGACCAATCAGGTCCAAAGAGTGCCAGATCAGGGAGGTCCAACCGTTAGCATGCTTGTATCTCATTAAATCACTGTAAATTGGGATATCTGTGCAAGACCAGTGGTAGAACCACCTTATTTCAGTCTTGCAGATTTCCTCCACTAGCAAAGTTTGTTCTGTGTTGTGCAAGTCAAAAAAAGTAGGTTCACACTTGTCAAGGGAACCCAATTCTATCACTAATTTGAAAAAAAAAATGTGTTCATTTCTAGCACTTCTAGAAACATCACAAGGATGCAGCTTTCATTAAGACTAAGGGACAAGACACTTTAGAATGTTTATTTTAATCTGCATTAGTATTTGCCACAACAACTGTATTTTACCATGGTAGCTGCTGCTCAATCAAAAGCACAATCTAGTGTGTCAAAAGCTTTGCTGAAACAGCTGTTTTCCAATCATTTCTTAAATCACAACTATATTTCCAAAACATTAAGTGATCAGGTACCAGCCACAGCAAGAACCATGAGTGAACAACCCGATAGAATTCTCAAGTACATAAGTATTTCTCACATTATCCTATTTAAGTATTCTACCAAAAAAACCCAAAAACCTCAGTTCCACAGTTTTTTTTACTTCACATAAAAGCATAATAAATGAAACATCAATATACAGACCTGTCCAAAAAGTTCTTCATCAACTACAAATCTGAGATCTAATTCGGTTGGATCATTTTCAAGAATCCATCTCAGAGAATTGTAATATTCACCATCCTAAAAATGAAAGTTGTATGCTTAATGGGTAAGTATAGAAGACTTACTTGAAGCAAACAGAGTATGTTCTATATTTATACCCAACACAACTGCATAAAGATTGGTCTTCACTAAGCTCACTGTGAACAGAGTAACTACTTATATTTGTTTGATTAAATCTACAGACAAATCGCTTCAACACTGACAACAGAATTACATTTGAGTACTTTAAAACTGAGAACTTAGTTTCTTGGAAGATACCATTCCTTATCCATTAGCAGGATAGGATATTGACCACCACAAGTTACTCTCTCCTAATAAAGAAGAGTAATATTCAAAGCACTATTCATGATGGACACTGGGTGGGGGGGGGAGAGGAAGAGGGCAGGAGAGATAAACTCTAGTCCTTCATCAAAGCATGTATAATTTTATTCTTTAAAATATGAGCATGTTTGGGCTATTGCTTTGATTCTTCAGTCTTCATGCACGTGGCCCCTACTGCTGTAGAACTTTTCAAACCTGAAAAATGACATGGATCTTGAGGCTTTCTACATGAGCTTTAAAAAAAAAAAAAAAATCGGGAAAAAGTAGCTAGAGCCTTAGAATGTTAGATGTTGCAGTTACTATGTGGTCACTATTCTTTCGTTCTCAAAATGATCGAACTCTGGAAGTTAGGCAGAAAACTCTTATTAGAAAGTAAGATAAAGAATGGTTACTTACTTTACAGTTTAAGATGTGTTTTCCATACAGATTCCTCTCTTGGTAAGCACATGTCCCATGTTAGAGAGAGATCAGATTATTTTGAAAGGGAGAATCCAGAGAAATGCTTGTGACCTGAATACCTTCTCAGTCCCTGTAGGTGAGGGCATACAGGGTGTGAGCTGCAAACCTCACTCATTTTCATCACTGAGGAGCAAGACTCAAATCAGTGGATGTCATAATCAGGAGTGCTGCCCAGCACCTGGGGACTAAGGGGTTAACTCTGTACCTAGCAAGGTATCAGGTAGTCAGCCAATATCACTTGCAGACAGGAATGTCAAACTGGAAGAGTTTTTTTTTCTTCTTTGTTTGAGATTCAGAGTAGTTTTCTTCCAAGTACTGAGGGAGATGGGAGACACTCTTCTCTCCAAGAACGGACTCCTTAGAATGTGTAAGTAGGGAAAATTTAGTTAGTCCATCAGGATTTATTGTTCTCCTTGTTTCGGGATGTGGAAATAATGTCTGAGCTTGTTAAGTGTTTTTGTTTCCTTTTGTAACATTCTTCAGCCCAGGGATTTTCCCTGAGTATCTGTATCAAATGGTGGCTTTCCATCTAGCAAATTCACTCTGCTTGCAACTGAAGATTTGTTTCTATAATAAACAATTGTTTCTTTTTTCTAATTAGCTGGTATTGGTTGATGAGTGTGTCTTGGAAGGAAGGAGTGTGTGAGAGTGTCTGAATGCCTCTGACTGAGGGGTCAGCTACCAGAGATTGCGGCTTGTTTTTCTCTTCTTTTTCAAGCTCTTTGCAGAAAAAGAGCTTGGGGTACCCCTGGGGTTGGTTTCAAGTGTCCACCCATTTGTGGGTTCAAAAGCAGTTGATGGTGGCAGCGGATTCCCCAAAATCTGAGTATTAGGATTTGGGGGGCGGAAGGGGGGAGTTTTTGTACCAATGCCTGTAGAAGCAAGGTTTTAGAGTGCTCTTGCAGGCCCCCAACTCCTGCATTTGTTGTGCCAGAGTGGGGAACAGCCTTGACAGTAGAGAAGGAAGTATTTTTAAACAAAAGGAAATATTTGTTCATATATTTCAGTCAACTTGTGGAACTCCTTGCCCAGAGGATGTGAAGGCTAAGAGTAGCAGGGCTCAAAAAAAGAATTAGGTAAGTTTTTAGAGGATAGATCCCTCAATGGCTGTTAGCCAGCCTGGGAAGGGATGGTGTCCCACGCCTTTGTTTGCCAGAAACTGCAAAGGGGAGACAGAGGATGTATCATTTGATGATCATCTGTTCTGTTCATTCCCTGTGGGGCACCTGGCATTGGCCACTGTTGGAATACAGAATACTGGGCTAGATGGACCTTTGATCCGATCTGGTACGGACATTCACATGTTCTTATGAAGGAGGGCAGGTCCTTGAATCTCAGTGGGCACCGCAACTTATTTAGGTAAGGTAAATAACAGTTCTCATTCTCGGAGAGACTGTTGACAAGTCAAAAGCAATTGCTCTAGCACTACGTAGGAAAGTGGAGATCTACTTAAAGAATGTAGAACAACTTTACCAAAAACAACTTCTGATCTGGAAACATGGATAGGTGGTTTATAATTGCTCAATGAAAGGAGATCTGATTTCAATCCCACAGAAAGGTTCTGGTACCACATATAGTGGTGGTGCTGACCTACACAGTAGGTAGTCTGTGCCAAGTAGAGGAGTCTTGGAATAGGAGTGCTCGATGTCATGACTCCCAGGCCTGTGTGAATGGTGCCAGTACAACTATATTTGGCACCAACACTGTCTTCCTACAAAGTTTGGTGGCAACTAAGTAGTGGAATAGGAAAAAACAGTTGGGTGCCAGCTTGGATTTCCATGCCAAGGGATTGGTATGGGACTCCACCTTAAAAATTCTGGAGGATTGGAGCCTTAAGAGAGGTTCACTATTAATAGTTAAGGAGGACGGAGGGGGAGTCAGAGGATGCCATGATCCTGGAAGCAGGCATGGATACAAAACACAAGAGAGACTGCAAGTCAAAGAATCCAGCTTCACTTGTATGAAGTGCATGCACACCAAGAATGGAATCTGTGCAGACAAACACTCAGAGATGAAACAGAGGATAATAAAGTTTAAAACTGAAGTCCTGAAATATCTTCAGTGCTGACATAATGTAGCAACTTTGTGATAAAATGGTGTGACCTTACATTTTAGACTTCTCTGTAGTATCCTTCTTTCCTGTACTGCTAGGCAGAACAATAAAGGGTCTGAGAAAGTAAAGTATTCAGAGGCTGCAATAGAATAAGAAAGATGGAATGCCAAAAAAAGGGGTGAAATTTTCAGGCAAGACTTTCGGGAACAAAGAAGATTCCAGACCATATTGCCAATGGTCTGTTTATAGCATTACTCTATTAAATATATATAGTTATTACAGAAAAAAGAACAATGACAGTGAATAATATGTTCTAAACAGAATACTCTAAAATGACTGTTCTAGATGCGGCTAATCAGCAATCCAGCTGCTGTTACTGGAAAAAGATTCGTCATAATATGGCACCTGGTTTCCAAAGACTGAACCCCAAAGGGATGAAAAAATAATGCAAGAGCTTTATTTCTATGAGAACAAAAACAAATAAAAAGACAACACTTTACACAAGACATTTATTAAGTCCTGGTGTGGAAGATATATACTGCTTTTGATAATATCATAGCACAAAATTAGTCGTGAGCTAGGAATAAGAAAGGAAGCCTAACTCTTGGTCCTCTGTGATAAGACATTAAACCACACTGCTATTCTAGAAATAATTCAAGTCAACAACACAGGAGGTTTAGGATAAAATTTTCATGAGAGATTAAAATGAGTTAGCATCCTAGGGTCCTGTGTCTGTTGGCAGACCTCAGGCTTCTAAACCACTTAACAGATGTATGAAAATGTTACCCTTAGTATTTTGTTTTAAAAAGTAAAGAGCTAAAGATTCAAAGTGTACATTTGCTTTAAATATTTAGCATTTCAAAACTTATAGTGTAAATATGAAAACTTAACATGAATGATGGCAGGAGATTTTACATACCACAGATTCCATATCATGAAGTGTTATGGGTTTTTGAAGCATCATCTTGTAAAAAGGTCGAATAAAAAACCCTTTAAAGAGTAAAGGATATTAATGTTAGATAAATCAAATGAAAATTCCCAACACAATATTGATCTACATATCATATTATGCAGAATAAATACTAACCATCCAGCAGCTTGCCATGGTAAACTGCCATTCCAGCTACACGTCCTATAAACTTGAAGTATGAGAGATGATCTTCATTGCACAATCCAGAGTTTGGATTGATCTGCAGAGTGTAGTTATCTCTGAGAGGAAGAAAGCACCACATGCAAAATTTTGCAGTCCATGAACAATATTATTAGTTTAATATTAAAGCATGTTCAGCGCACGCAAGGTAAATTTAATAGGACTGATTACGTATATGAAACACTGGTAAAAACCAAATGGTAAAGGTATTTTAATTCGAGCAGCGTTTCACCATGAGTTTTGTTTGTTAATATTAACTCCCTCTTACTTTACAAATTTGCTCAGTCATTTCTGCAAAATGAGAATGAACACAAGCATTAATTTAAGAAGAAATAATATCATGTTTGTTCTAAATATATAGCAATCATGAATGCTAGATGATAGGAATGGAGATGCTGGCTGCAAGCTGATATTTGCTGTACAAAGATTACTAACGTTCATTTCAGATTGCCAGCAAAATATAGGACTACGATATCTGCAACAGCACAACAGTGCTACATACCGAAAAGTCCTTAAATGCCACAAAAATTATTTTAAATTTTTGTCAAAGAGATTAAACTGAAGCGCCTTTCCCTAACCTATATTATCTTTCGGGGAACCATGTTACTTACGTGGCAGAATACTCAAACAATCCATAATAGGGATTAAACATTTCTTTAGAGAGAAGGAAGAACCATTCCCGGGCCACTCCTCCATAATCTAAGCCTTTTTCACCATCAAACTCAATCCAGAGTCTTGCTTTAAGGAAATCTGCTCTCTTTACAGCTATAATTCGTCTGTAAGAATCTTCAAGGATTGTTGTACGGTGAAGTTTCATTTCAAATCTGTTTGGAATATCACTCTGAAAAGGAATAGGAAAAATCAGGAAAACTGAATAATGAACACTGCACTTGGGCATGTAAAATTCAATAGTCAAAAGATGGCATGCATGTCATTTTATTTCAATAAAGTGGTTATGCAACATAACATGGTTGAAAAAGTGGTTCTATTTTCAGAAGATTTAACCGGCATGTAGAGATTTGTAATGTACCAAATTCTACCTCACATTAAGGAAGTCAGATGTTAAATGTTCATTTGTTATTTAGCATCTGCCCTGTTTCTGAAAGCATATCAAGGTGAAGAGCTTTTAATACTGAACTATAATGTGTTCAAGACAAACCCCATGTGTTTAAGGACAAACTATTTAATTTTCATCTGCTTCCATAAGGCATTATGCTCACTAGCTTTTTCTGTTATTTATTGCCATTTCTGGTCTACCAAAACCATCCTTTCCTCTTGCACCTGGGATCTAGGTCCATGTTATTAGATAAATATTGAAGTTTGTTTGTGGTGACAAAGACAACTACCAATTCTGTATGGTTTAAATGTGAACATTTTATTTCATTTAGAAACGATTCTGTTGCATAGCTGAGTTTCCATGATCTCAGATTAGGATCGTGTATAAAACACAGTCTGGGCTTCCTAGACCAGGTGCACATAACAGAATGAAGTGTACCCCAAGTACAATTTCTTTAAGTTGCTTTTCTGTTAAAAAAAAAAACAACCCTTACGTTTTCTGAACAAGTGAAATACATCTTATGTCACATTTTCAATACAGATATAATTTTTTCCCCACATTGTATGTATACTCTGCATTCATTCTGATAGAGCAGCAGCACGGGGGGGACGGGAGGGGAAGAGGCTGGAGCTGATACATGTGGGGAGTCGGCTTTTAAGTTGGCTCTCCTTGCATGCTAGTTCTGTGGAGACGCCTGTCTCCCACAGAGGCAAGTGGGAGCAGGCTGCAGCTGGCACTCAGGAGGAGCTAGCCGCCTATCAGAGGCAATAGCACAGGGGAGTAGGGGAGGCTGCCACGGAGCAGCATCTGTCTGTGGTGGGTCCAGGAATATGGACAGAAACTGCTCCATGGGATGCTGGTTAACCTCCTGTCCATGGGGAGCTCGGGCCCCCCAAGGACAGGGGATGCTGCCGCCCTGCACTGCAGGCAGGAGTCGGTCTGTGAAGGGAGCTGGTTTAAAAATTTGCTCCCCTTGTGGACCAGTTCCTGTCTGCCACCCCGCGGGATGGCAGGAGTCTCCCCAGGAGTGGCTGCTGGCCCTGCCCCTGCGGACTACTGAATAGCTGTATAACTGCTAAAATCTGTTGCAGTTACACGACTATTCAATTAATCGATATCTAACATCCCTACTATGCAGTGCAGCAATGTGAACTAGAGCAGGGGTTGGCAAGCTTTCAGAAGTGGCATGCCAAGATTTAACTTATTCGCTTCTATTTATGGATCTGCGTGCTGGGTAAAAGAGGGAGAAGGGGCAGGTTGGGGCAGGCTGGGTATGGTAAACATATTGTCTGAACCAGCTGCAGCTAGGGAGAATGGTTTAAATTTAAACTATTAAACAGACTAAGCATTTTAACTTTCTCAAATTAGTTTCTCAAACTTTGTTTTAAATAAAGTAAAATATTAATTTATGTCCAACACAAAAGGTTTCAATGTTTCCTTTATTTACAGCAAGGGTGGGGAACCTTTTTTGAGGTCAGTGACCACTGAGCCACAGAAAAATCAATTGGGGACCACACAAGTGAAAAGCAAAAAAACTCCTCCAAAACCCCAACCCTCATTGATGTGTCCCCTAACAGACACACCTCATTCTTCTGGCACTCCAGCCTCATGGGGTGAGGGGAAGGGACAGGAAGGACTGAGGTTCATAAGCCACACTTTTCTGGGGTTCCAGAGTTAGTGGATTCTATGGACCCCCTTAGGCTCTGGGATAGGGACAAAAAATGAGGGGCTCAATATACAAGACAGAGCTGACAGAGTAGGATAGGGATGTAGTGCAGGATGTGGGAGGGAGGTGGGGTGCAAAAGAGGGAGTGGTTGCAAAGTTTGAGTGGGAGGTAGAAGCAGGCTGGGATTAGGGTGTCCAGCCAGGTGAAGGGAGCAGGAGCAAGGGAGGGTGCAGTGTAGCCAGGAGGGAGGGTGCAGGAGCAAGGCAGTTTCAAGAGTAGGATGGGGGTAGGTGTCTGGCTAGACCATGGGGGAGTGTGCAGGATAAGGATGGGGATATGGTGTCTGACCAGGACGGAGGGTGCAGGAACAAGGGAGGGTGTCAGAGTAAGCTGGGTGTGCAGGGTCATGGCGGGGGGGAAAGGAGTGAGTGAGATTGGAGTGTGGGGGTCTGGGCATGAGGGGGGGGATGCTTACTTGGCTTTGTGCACCCTTGCAGCAACTGCAGAGACAAGCCCTAGTCCATATTTACAAAGACGGAGCAGGTAATGATGGAAAGAGATCGTGACCACCAGGAAGTTTGGTTATGGCTCCTTAAGTCACATGGATAATCTGCATTATCCTGACTACATTGGTTAAAACAGTTTCAGGAATGCTCTTATGCTAGTTGAGGCCCATCAGAATACAACATGCTCCAGTCATATTTCCTCTCTCTCACCCTCTTCCCTCCCCTACATGCTCTTTATGCTAGTGTCAAAAGGGAGAGGTGAAGCACACTGGGTTTATGTCATCTGAAAGTTCCTTTGGGAGGAGGTGATGGGAAATGTCAGCTGCCTGACCCTTTCCATCCATCTGAGTAAGCACTGGAAAATGTGACTTATTGAGTTCAGATTTGAAAGACATTTCTGACTTTTTTTTAACAACAGATCACTAACCTGCTTCTTCAACTTCTTTCTGAAGAATTCATACTTTCGTTTATAATCCCTGGAGTAAGGCACAGCCTTTGAACAAACAAGTAAAGAGTACTGAAATAGAATACTTTGTTACTAAAATATTAATATTTAAAAATTGAATAATATTTTAAAACTGAAATCCTGTCTGAAATTGTAATTTGCATTTAATATTTGACAGTTTTATCTGAAATATTATGTATCAAAGCTAGGAAGTTAATTTCCTTTTTGGAACAGAAATAAATGTCCTTAAAAACTCATTTTTTGCAAGCTTATTTAGGGCGAAGATTAAATTGGCTTTATTTTGCACAGCACACCTAAATATTACACAAACAGAATTTATCAGTAACTTAAAATATTGCTTTCTCTATTGAGGTAATTCTCTGCTTGCCATATGCACTGAATGTTTCTTCTTCATTTCAAGATTATTTCTAAGTAATAATAGATCTAGAAATATAGATATTTCATTTTCAGATATGTCTTCACAAATCTGTTATGTTCAAGCACTACAGAAATATTCTAGACTGAATATTTAGTAATAGTGATAAAGTGTCATTTAAATTGTTAATATTTACAAAAATTAACAAAATAGATATAAAAAAGTCTTACTGGTCCAGTTATTGCTACATTCTGCAATCGAGGATCTTCCCATTGTGTTTTTTTGGTATCTGCAAGACATTTAAGTTAGTGTCCCTAATTTTGATATGGTTAAGTAATAAATTACTTAGCAACATAAGGAGATACTTATATTGTACATACTATGGTTTATGTAGAATATTCTTCCATCTGTGTGAGTTCTCTCTTCCCATCCTGGCTATAAAGAAGAGTGATCTTTCAATATGAATTCTTAAACATCTGGTCTGTAACAAGTGCTAACAATTTAACCAAGATAGAATATATAAATGCTGCATTTCTCATACTATCAAGTTCAAATTACAGAAGTCTCCACAATGAGATTCAAAATCTGAGAGTAGAATATACATTTTATATTAAATAAAGTGCATCATAACTTTGTTTGCACTAAAATTAGAGATAGTTTAAATATTTAAACTAGATCAGTCTCAGAACACTTACCGGCAAGGGGCCT